GCACTGGGGTGGCATTTAATTTCGTTGTACAAGTAGTACAATGACAATAAAGATTTCTATTTAAGACAGACTCCTTGCAATAGCAGCAGCCTGATTTTGAAATACTTCATTCTTTTTGATTTCCCTCATTGTTGCTGCAAGAAGCTGCTGAGCTAGACTGACACTCAGATATAATAAGCAATAGTAGAGTAGCAATGAAGCTACTACACACATGAAGACATCAACATCCACTAAGAGAACAGCCATACAGCCACGTTAATGTGCTATCCTCCAGGCCTTGAGTTGGCAGAAAAGTAGGATGGTGAGCAGCGCTGCCCTTAAGCTTCTAAATTAGGATAAGTTAAAGGAAGGGATTGGTGGATTCCCTTGCTGTTATTTTCCCTCCGTGAGAGTCACTTGCTGGCAGGAAACCCCCCCTGTGCTCAGTCTCCTTAAGCTGTGGCAGGGCAGGGATGAGTGAGCGTAGCCTGGGATGAAGGTTTAACCACCTTTCAAGTTGCCTGAGTGACAGTTTGCAGCCGAAGGTGTATTTCTGTTGATCTGCATTAATGCTTTGTCATGAGATGGATGTCTACAGATGGAAGCAAATGACAAAATGTGCACTGTGGTATAGACTCCACACCTGACATACTTGTGTCCAACACTGTGACAAAAGCGTGAAAATGACACAAAGCACCCACTGTTTTGGCATCATGGTGGCTAGGAGCAGAACCCGATGGTCGTGGGGCCTATTGTAATAATCTGTGGATGCATGTAATCGAACTGTTTCATGTCTATGAGTGTCCACTTTAAAATTCTCTCCCAAGAATTAATTGATTGTTGGTCAGCCCGTGTTTCCCATCTGTAAAATACGTATTGTGATCAAGACTCGTTTGGCAAAAATATGTTTGCTCCAAAAATGATTTACAAAGCAATAATCTGCAAGTCTTATTTTCCATTTGCGATGGGTTTGGCCTTCTGGTTTGTCTAGAACAGTGTTTCTCAACCTCAACAACTTTAAGATGCATAGAGTTCAACTCCCAGAATTCCTATGGTGGCTGGGGAATTCTGGGAGTTGAAGTCCACACATCTTAAAGTTGCTGAGGTTGAGAAATCCTGGTCTAGTCCAAGGAATTCTGGAATTCGTTCCAGATACTTAATACCTTCTCCTTCTTTCCTGATCCTTCTCGCCCCTCTCGCTGCACACCCATCCTGATCTAGTTTTAGGAGAGGGCCCGGCTTGAATGCCCTCCTGCTATTGTTGCTTTGTTTCAGCTTACCCGCTCCACGTCTTCGTCATCCAAGAGCCCCTTTTCCAAACACTTGAAGGCCACCTGGGTGGCCCGTATCTGGTCAGTGAGGCGGTCGAAGAACACGTTCACCAGAGCCCTGCCCAGGTCCCCGAGTGCCTCTTGGGTGGGCGAGGGCAGGTCGCCCAGGCTGGGGTCCAGGTAATTGGCGGCATCGTAGCCGCCCCGCACCAGCGCATCGCAGAACTCCTGGCACAAGCCCGCCGACTGGGGGGCCTCCTTCTCCACCACGGACAGCAGCTGCTCCGCCGCTTCTACGTCCCCTTTTTCTCTGGCCACGGCTCGGAGCCGAACTTTTTGCTCGGGGCGCAGGGACGGCATCAAATCCAGCACTCGACTCACTTGGACGCTGGTCTTGATCCTGGGCCTAAAGCAAGAGATCAAGTAGAGGATGGACTCGTCTCGGGACGGGCTCGCGGCCGCTTCCATGCCGCCGCCGCCGCCGTCGTCGGGGGTCGGTCCCGGCTTGGGGAAGGCGCGATTCCTTCGCGGCACGCTAGGAAGGCAACCTCGCCCCCCTCGCCGAGAAATACAGAAGGCAGTTTCCCGGTCCTGTCGCTGGGCGCTGCGACAGCCAGTGAGCCGGGCACTTCTCGGGACGCACCTTCGATTTCTGTTCTCAGCTGGCTTTCGGTTTCCACACGGGAAGCGCCCTTCCTCCGAAGGCGGAGTTGTTGCGGGTTTTCCTATTTCTCCGCTACGGAGGTTCTCGGCGCATGTTCCGTGGGACAGAACTACGGCAGTCAATTCCTCGGTGGTACCGATAACAGCGTCTCCCAGTGTGCCTCCGTCAGATGTCTTAGGCTACCACTCCCAGAATCCACAGCCAGGAACTCCAGGAGCTGTAGTCCAACTCACCCGGAGGCTACTGGAGTGGGAAACTTTGCTTAATACATGAGGAAGTCAACAGAAAGTTTCAGAACGATGTTTAATGCTGAAATCGTGGGAGAGGCAGGCACCCGTTTGTTCTGTTTGACATTTGATTAATCTTTTTATGGGAAGTTTATTGCAACTGCATTTTCTTGGTTTGTTCTACTCCTTTCTTATTTTGATGTCTTTGATGTCTTTAATTCTCCTATTGGAGAGGGTTTTGTAAACCACTCATAATCTTTATGGATTACAGCAGCATATAAACCCAAACACCTGGTGCTTAAAGTGTGAATTCATATCCCAGTTTGTCAATAGTAACCAGGAGAGAAGTTGCAGCCCTGCAGATATTCACGTAGTTTTATGACAGCAATGCAGCTTTCAGTGAAATCCTAGGAATTCAGGTTCTGTTTCTTTTCTCCAGTGTAGTCTAATGGTACACAGACTGGCTTCCTCTTGATTCATGGTGTCATTTCATGTCCTCCCCCCACTTTTTTTTTTAAAGCCTAGGAAGTCCCTAGGAATCTTTATACACAAAGGCAGCTTTAAAAACAAGAAATGTGTTTAGGAAGAAGTCATGAAGCAGGCAAGCCATGTTGGTTCTAGATTTCCAGGTGACTTAGATTTTGATAGAATTTTTATTATTAGTGAAATATAAACTACTACACTACCACCAACAAAATACAATAATGGCTATACAATATTAAAAAAAAACCCTATACACACTATAATGAATAAAATAAAGGCAACAGAAGGAATAAGAAAAAAACTAAGAAAAAGAGAATATTAGATATCTATGATATGTCTAGATACAGTATAAGATATAATGCCTAGAGTCATTGAGAGTCGGATGGTACACAAGTTTAATATGTATGGCACCTTTTATTTCCCAAGTTACAGTAAAGCCAAATAAGAAGACTTGAGATGAGGCTTTTAACAGAGGTTTTATTGGCCAAGGAAACCTTCTGGATGGCTCAAGGAGTGTTGCCCAGAACCACACCTTGCAAAGCAAGCAACAA